GCACACACTACAGGGCAAGTCAGCACAACTGGACTAAACCAAAGCTAAGAATTTTCCTGAAGACAATCAAACACTTTGAGAGACAGAGTAGCAGGTGTAGGGGTCCGGGGACTGTGCTTTAAGGGGACATCTAGGTCATTTGGCATAACAAAGCTTATTAAGAAAATGTTCTGCATCCTACTTTGGTGAGTGGCACCTGGGGTCTTAAAAGCTAGCAAGAGGCCATCTAAGATGCATCAATTGGTCCCAACCACCTGGAGTAAAGAAGAAAGAAGAGCACCAAAGACACAAGGAAAGTATTAGCTCAAGAGACAGAAAGGGCCACATAACCCAGAGACTTCATCAGCCTGAGACCAGAAGAACTAGATGGTGCCCGGCTACCACCAATGACTGCCCTGACAGGGAATGCAACAGAGTCCCTGATTGAGCAGGAGAAAAGTGGGACGCAGAACTCCAATTCTAGTAAGAAGACCAGACTTAATGGTCTGACTGAGACTAGAGGAACCCTGGAAAGCATGGCCCCCAGGTTCTCTATCAGCTCAGAACTAATACAATTTCCGAGGCCAACTCTTCTGACATGGATTGGACTGGACTTTGGGACGTAAAATGATACTCGTAAGGAATGTGCCTCTTAGCTCAAGTAGATACAAGGGACTAGGTGGGCGGCTTCTGTCCGGAGGTGAGATGGGAAGGTACAGAGGGTTAGAAGCTGGTTGAACGGACATGGAGAATCAGGGGTGGAAAGGAGAAGTGTGCTGTCGCAGTGTGGGGAGAGCAATTAAGGTCACGTAACAATGTATGTATAAATTTTTGTATGGGAGACTAACTTGAAATGTAAACTTTATTTAAATTACAGCATTAAAAAAAAGAATATACATGATAGAATCTTTTAGCATATCAAATGAAGTCTTAATTCATTATATGTATTCCCTTTAAATTTCCTCTTTATGCTTCTGGTTTCTATTGCACTGACCTCTCTTCAGTTTAATAATTCTGTATTATGCAGTGTGTAATCAATGGTTAAAGTCCTCTAATGAGCTTTTAATATCAGATATTTTATGTTTCATTCTAAAATGATTTCACTTTTGGTTTCACCTTTAATAGGTAGAAAGCTAAAAATAGTGTGAATTTCACCCTTAAAAAATGGTACCTCATAATCATCAACTTTTCTTGAACCAACCAGAAAACTGAGGTTTTAATAAATTAAGGCAAGTATGGGACACTTTGAAAGTGTGAAGATCTCAGGGGCTGCAGATCTAGAGGTTTGTAACCTCTTGCAAAATTTTTCCTACATCAGTGTCACCAGGCACTCACAGGGAAATTCAAGGAGAATCCTGAGAAAGCTTCCCTTATAAGCCAGGGGATAGAAATAGCAGTCACTGACAAAACAAAACCAATAACTATCTCCTTGAACTATGCTATGGAACAAAACCCTTAAATAGTAAGGGAAAGAGTAACAAAAAGTGTTGCTTTAGGGTACTGGGGCAAACCATATCAGCTGGGAGAAGAAAACAAACAAAAAAGCATAGACCCAAAGGAAAGGGCAAGAATACATAGTAGGCCCAACAGTTCTTTGTAAAGATAAAAAAATTAATAAATCCCTAGGCTGACTGACCAAGAAAAAAAGAGAAAAGAAACAAATTACCAATATAAGAATGCAAGAGCGTACAAAACTAAAGACACAATAGACTTACAGGGATAATAAGGGAACACTAGGAGCAACTCTATGCCCATTAATTCAACAGTGTCTAGTTTTGTTCCAGGCACTAAAGATAAGACATAAGTTTTTTTTTTTTTTAAAAAAAAGACAAACTAAATATGGATACATACTTAAGGAAGCAGGATGAACCCAAATCAGGGTTTTGTCATGAAATCAAGATGATATGGATTACAGGTCAAACGATCAACTCCATTGGGGACATCAAAATGTTTGACAGATTATTGGAGTTTTTGGAATACAATTTCAAGTGTAAGGAGGAATGGAAAATGATCTACTGTTCAGAAAACAAGTCTGAGAAGACTTCATAACAAAGAAAGGAAAAAGTGAAGGAACATGAGTTATACAATTTTATGTGAAGAAATTTTTTAAAAATATGAACGGATATATCTTTAAATAGTTTTCTATGCTCTCTCCACTTCTCCCATGTTTTCTTATATAAAACAAAGAAACTTAATACAAGCAGTCCCCAGATTATGATCGTGTTCCATTCCTAAGTCTGTCTTTAAGTCAAATTTGTAAGTAAGACAAAACAGTTATGTATGGTTCATATCTAACGATAGTCAAATGTTTGTCTTAGTATAGAGTGTACCTTTGTATGCATAAAAAAAATTAAAGAAACACTTCCAGACACAGAAAATATCTTTCTTTAACATAATAATACAGTAATAATAATGCTTTGATGTGCCCTGCAAAGTAACACCCATTTGTTATTACGGACCATTGTATGTACCTCGAATTTTTAATATCATAGGCTTTACAGGGGTTGGTTCATAACTACAGGTTATATGCATGTTGGACGTTTGTAATGTGGGGATTGTCTGTGACCAAAGGAACACCCACATCAACACCAGTTTAAGATCATTAATAACACAAGATCTACCTGAATATTCCTTACCTATCCAGCCTCTTGCCTCCCTTCTCACAGTCAGATGTATCTCTACTGTTATGTAGTGAAGGCTTGACTCAGCAGTCTTGGAGTATTCAAACTCTGCACATTCCAAAGAAAAGACTGGCCCTTGACCAGACCTGGGAGATAATAACCTCTAGGCCCTTGGAATATCCTGCTTGATAAAACTGTTTATGTATACCCGTGGCCTTGAACCACAGCAGAAAGTTTATGCTAACAATGTGATTTAGGTTAAAGACATTGTTTTATTAATATAAATACAAATTTACCTCTGATCACTACTTCAGCTATATCCTTATGTTTCCAGTATACATGGTTAATATTTTCATCATTTTAAAAATATTCTATAATTTTGGCTTTGATATCCTTTTTCATCCATTGTTTAAAAGTGATAATTTTCTACATTTTCACCTGGAAGGTGTTTTTTATTAATCTACTTTACCATCAATTTCTACATTAGTCAAACTCTGACCAGAGAATACTGTCCGTGATAATTCTGATTTGTTGAACTTAACGAGTTTTCTTTTCAGACAATTATTACATTTTCACTTTCTTTTGGTTACTCGAAGGCTTCAAAAGTTTGGTCTTTGCTTTTAGCATACATACAAGTATGGGTTCACTTTAGAATAAATGTTATTTATCATCTCGATAACCGTACTTCTTTAACCTCCACTGGAGGTCCTTGGGAAACCCTGGCAGCGTAATTATTAAGAGTTCGGCTGCAAATCAAAAGGTCAGCAGTGTTAAACAACCAGGCGCTCCTTGGAAACCCTGGGGGCAGTTCTAGTCTGTCTTACAGGGCCGCTATGAGTTGGAATCGAGTAGACGGCAACAGGTTTGGTTTTTTTTTTTGTTTGGAGGTCCCTGAGGAGCCCTGGTGACGGAGTGGTTAAAGAGCTTGACTGCTAACCGAAAGGTCAGCACTTTGAATCCACCACACTGCTCCTTGGCAGTCTGCTTCTGTAAAAATTAAAGCCTTGGAAACCCTATGGGGCAGTTCTACTCTGTCCTGTAGGGTTGCTATGAGTCAGAATTGACTCGACAGCAACAGTTTTTTGGGTCTGGAGATCCCTGGGTGGTGCAAAAGCTTTGCACTCGACAGAAAAACCGAAAGGTTAGCAGTTCATACCACTCAGTAACACTGTGCAAAACAGGCCTGGCAATCTTCTTCCTTAAGATTATAGATAAGGAAACCCTATGGAGCAGTTCTATTCTGTAAAACATGGGGTGGCATGAGTTGGAATCAACTAGACAGTAATGGGTTTGGGTTTTTTTTTGAGTATCATGTAAATAGATGAGGTATATTTTGATTTACTAGTCCTAATGCAAGTTCTCTGAATGGCTCAAACGCTTTGTGCATGACTACTAACTGCTGCAGAAGAAAGGCCTGGCCACCTGCATCCATAAAATTACAGCCAAGAAAACTTTATGGAGCTGTTCTACCTGTAACACATGGGGCTCCCACGAGTTGGAATCGACTGTAAGGCAACAGGTTACTTCTAATGAATTTTTACTTTCTGTTAGAATATCAGAATTTTTTGTTTTACAAACAATAATTCTACGTTATTTGATGTGTAGATAATCAAAATGCTTATGCAAATTGTGCTCATTAGCTTCAAGTGCCTGTCATTTAAAGCTTTTATCCACTAACTTCAAACCTCAAAGATAGAGATCATGAAACCCTGCATGACTGTTTTCACTGACTTAACAACTTCACAATTCTTCAACTGCAATCCAAATTATTATTTAGGGATCTCTTTCTATTTAATTCAGTCAATTTCATCCAATCATTTATACTTCTGACAGCCAGACATGCTTATGAAAATTGTGAATTTTTATATTATACTGTTTGTAGAGCTTCAAAAAATGTATTTCAGTAAGTGTGTTTACTTGTGATAATTAAAACGATTTTATTCTTGCTCTAGGAATTACATTTAAAATTACAACTTTCTGAAATTCCTGAAATTGTCTATTAGTTTTGGCACTATCTAGATACTGCCTCCTGCAAGTAATAATGAAATTGGTATGTTTCTTCTCTACTTTCCCTTCTCCAACAAAACAACAATTTGTGTTGACTTTATAATGTGTTAGTTTGGATCCTTGGACTATTAAATATACTTATAACACTATCACTTGATTTTTCAGATTTAAAATTTATCTTTGAAACATCAGTTTTTAAAGATGAAAACTTTCATCATGCTTACATGCCTTCCTCTATGTTACAACTCCTCTATATATTTTATTGACTATATCCTTTTTAAACTCACAACAGCATTAGACTTCTTAAAAAGTACCTGAAAAAACTTTTTAAAGGTGTTTAACCCTAAGGTCTAACTATCCCAGGATTCCTTCTGCCACTCTTCAGAAACTTACCTGGGTAGCTATTGTTTGGGAATTCTTCCTTTAGGGACCAGGGCTCTCCTCCTTGTTCCAGCTGGAAGATCACCTCTGGTTTGGTAATGCAATACCCTGCAAATGGGGAAAAACTGAGAGTTTAGACCAAATGAAGGCAGAGAAAGATAGCTCCAGGAAAAGTAAATGAAGGTGCTCTTTTGAACTTTTCAACAGGGAGATGACAACAGAAATGTTGCTCAAAATGGTTCAGTACCTTAGACCCTAGATCAAATGGCTGATTAACATTAACTTCTATAAAGAGTTCACCTGTTTTGATACTTTAAAGGAAAAGAAAAGGAAATGCACCCTAGAGGGAGTCACATGGTGAGGTCTGCTCACCCACTGAGATGAGGTGGCTGTAGTTCTCCAACATCACGTCTCTGTACAGGGTCCTCTGAGCAGGGCCCATGTGCTGCCACTCCTCCTGGGTCAGCTCCACAGCTACGTCCTTGAATGACACTGATGCCTGTAACAGCACATCTCTTATCAATCTGAAGAGTTCAGACACAGGTAACATGGAGAATACATTTTGGATCTAATTCTTATCATGTTTACTCTTAAAACAAATGGCTAAAAAGCATATCATTTTTGGACCCAATACTGGGTTATATTTTAGAATTACTCAATTAGTTAAAAAGATCTAGCATGCTGTCATTGAGTTGACTCCAAATCACAGTGACCCCATGGGCTTCAGAGTAAAACTGCATTCCATAGGGTTTTCTTGGTTGTTAATCTTACAGAAGCAGATTGCCAGGTCTTTCTTCTGAGGCACCACTGGGTGGATTCAAACAGCCAACCTTTTGAATAGTAGCCAACAGCAAACTGCTTGTGCCACTCAGGGACCTAGACCATGGATCATTATATATACATATTTAGGAATTAGAGACTTTTTAATAAAAATATCAAATGTAAATAAGACTTTCTACAACTCTTATTCCATATTCCAACAGATTACTCCAGTATTATACAGAGTGTTCACATCTTCAAGATCACCATCGTAAATAATGGCGAGTCAAGGAACTGAATACATGTAAGCTCTGAAGATGTTAAATATTACTAGACTTGTATTCTAGAATGAATGCTCTAGAAGGGTGAAGAACAGCTTAAAAAGGATTTGGAATCAAAAATAGAAGTGTAACAGATGAATGCCTTCATTAGTGTAATGGCAATGAACGTAAGAATAGGAAACTAATCCCACACAAGATGCAGCAACAGAATTTGCTCACTAATTTCTTGTACAACTGAACATTCTAACTGTACTAGCAGCTAGATAACTTCTCATGACATGTATTAAGCCACAGATCAGAAGAAAAAAATGTTAGAGTGAGGCATATCATATTCATGTAGCTAATGAAGGCTCTGTGGGATACAAAGGAAGAACTGTCCCCTGAACAGGCAGACATATGATTTTAGAATACAGAAAGGAGGTATAGGATGGAGACAAGCATTTAGTAGTCATTAGCAAGTTAGGTCATGACTGAAGTCAACAAAGGCAATCAGTCATCTTAAAGTACCATGTGGGAACACCAACCTTAAAAAGGATGGCTGAAATACAATACAACCTGAAGACTGAGAGGAAATTTCCTAAATGATAGTAGAAAACCAAGAGAAAGTAGAACCATGGTAACTAAGAGAAGGGGTTAAAAAAAAAAAAAAACAGACAGGAAAAAATAAGGACATGTTTCCCAACACTTAACACAAGTAGACTGAAGGAGCAGGATTCCTACCAGAACTAGAAAGACTTCCCAGTTCAAACTCAATAAAAGCTAGTATTTAGAGTAGGCAGTGGGCAAATGAGTGGGAGAGCAATCAACAGAAGGACAACCACAGAGTCCTGGGTGTATCTCACTGTGTAAATACTGGAAATGGCTGGAGGAAAAGATGATGGAAATAACTCTCCACATGGAATAGGAAAAATGATTCAAGGCTTTGACTTAAGGGATGCAGCCATAAGAAAGCAGCAGAAAGCTTATCCCTTGGTATCTGATTTTGACAATGCTTTTGTAAATAGTATCACTTCTTAAAAGTTCATTCCCCACTGTGTGCAGCCAAAACATAAATATACATTTTATTTCTTAATTTTGACCTCATGTCTAATGTTGTTATTAGGTGCTGTCGAGTCGGTTCTGACTCATGTGCAACAGAACGAGTCACTGCTGGGTCCTGCACCATCCTCACAATCGTGCTATGTTTGAGGCCATTGCTGCAGCCACTGTGTCAATCCATCTCATTGAAGGTCTTCCTCTTTTTCACTGACTCTCCACCTTACCAAGCATGATGTCCTTATCTAGGGACCAGACCCTCCTGATTACATGTCCAGAGTATGTGAGACAAATTCTCACTATTCTCGCTTCCAGGAGCACTCTGGCTGTACTTCTTCCAAGACAGAATTGTTCCTGATTCTAGCAGTCCATGGCATAGTCAATATTCTTCACCAACACCATAACTCAAAGGTATTAATTCTTGTTTGGTCTTCCTTATTCATTGTCCAGCTTTAGCATGCATGAGGCAATTGAAAATATCATGGCTTGGGGCAGGAGCACCTTAGTCCTCAAAGTGACATCTTTGCTTTTCAACACTTAAAAGAGGTCTTTTGCAGCAGATCTGCCCAGTGCAATACATCGTTTGATTTCCTGACTGCTGCTTCCATCGGCATTGATTGCAGATCTAAATAAAATTAAATCCTTGACAACTTCAATATTTTCTCCATTTATCATGATGTTTACTGGTCCAGTTGTGAGGGTTTCTGTTTTCTTTATGTTGAGGTACAATCGATAGTGAAGGCTGTATGTAGTCTTTGATCTTCATCGGTGCTTCAAGCCCTCTTCACTTTCAGCAAACAAGGCTGTGTCATCTGCATATCACAGGCTGTTAATGAGTCTTCCTGCAATCCTGATGCCACATTCGTCTTCATACAGTCCAGCTTCTCGGATTATCTGCCTAGCATGCAGACTGACATGTCTAATAATACTCCTAAATACAAATAATCCATATATTACCTGTAGAACACTTTGAAGTTTCTATGTACACAATGTAATCTCTAAAATATGACACCTTTATTCGTTGCTTTTCAATCTTTCTATGTTTTATATCTCTGTTGACTTACTTCACCGCCTAAGGCTTCAAGTACAAAGATCACGTGGGCATACTAGATTGTAAGGCAAAATGTTAATATATATTACAGTTCTGAAAGATGTAACAAATATTTTATACCAAAATTAATAATGAACTAAGGTGGAAAGAATAAATCCAAGTATAAAAAGACATGTGAATGGGTTAAATTCTTGATCTGATTCAATTCATTGGTCAATTAATCTGCTACTTCTTTCTCTCACTACATGTTTCCCATGTATAAGCAAGCCATCTTCTCATAATCCCTAATATCTTCTATATTTTATCCCCTCCAAGGAGACTTTACTTACCCACAAGAAGCTTAGTGGATCTCACAAGGGTATGCACACTGCTGAAGAGTTTAGGACTTTATGACTATGAGAATAAGTGCTACAGTATTAAGGGAAGCATAAGGACAGAGAAGAAAATGTGCCCTGGGCTTCTTTCACTCAGAACAGGTTTAGTCTCGGCATAAGAACAGTGCACAAGTCTCTACAGGAGTGACGATGAAAAGAGTGCACAGGCTGTGTGTGAGAAATGAGGTGGCATTTTAGAGAAGACAAATGGAAACAGAATTCTTTGGTGGCCCAGCTGTTTGTTTAGGAAGTATGATCTTTCATTCAGAGATGAGCTTAAGAAACATGGTTCATGGCACCCCAAAACAATTACAATAGTAACATCAAAGATCACTGATCACAAATCACTGTAACAGATATAATTATGAAAAAGCTTGAAATATTGTGAGAATTACCACAATGTGCCACAGAGACATGAAGCGAGCACATGCTGTTGGAAAAACGGCGCCGACTTGCTCAATGCAGGGTTGCCGCAAACCTTGTTTGTAAAAAATGCATTATCTGTGAAGTGCAATAAAGTGGAGAGCAATAAAACTAGTATGTCTATACCTCTTCTCACCAGCCCTTTTTATCAATTCTGACACCATCTGTCCCTCCCACAGCACTGTCTACTCCTCTACCGGGTTCCATAATTCACTGCAATGGTCACACAGAACGGAGAGACCATACTCACAGTTATGGGGGTTTATGAGAGAAGTAATAGGTTATAATTCAGGTTCAAGAATGCTCAGAATATAGTTCTTTGATTAGGACAACCACTTCTCAGCCATGCCCACAGGCAAGTATCTCATTGGCCCTTGGCCACTCGGCCTGGCTCATGCCTTGCTCAGGTAAGTGTTACAAAACTCTTATAGCTCTGCCAATAAGTACCCAGAGGCACTACACTGCACCAGTAAGCCTCGGGGAGAAGGCACTGAGCTCTAGCTTCGTAGGTCGGCAAACCTAGCTCCACCAAGTGCCCAAAAGCACCCTACTGCACCAGCAAGCCTCCTACTTGAAGGCGCTCAGCTTTCTTACTCTGTGGGTCGGGAAACCCACTGCACAGTCTCCTGCCTTTGCTGCAGCTTCTTGCTGTCTTTGGTGTTACAACTGTCTCTCTCTCTCTCTCTCTCTCTCTGTCTCCTGGTTCCAGGAGCTTCTCAGCACAGGGATCCCAGTTCCAAAGGACGTGCTCCACTCCTGGCTCTTCTTTCTTGGTGGTGATGAGATCTTCTCTCTGCTCTGGAATCGGCTCTCTTTTAAGCCTATTGAGATGGCAAAACTGACCAATCCCTCGTTGGGGTTCCATATACTTTACTTGCATGGTCTCACTCCCATAAGGGTACCATGCACCTTATTTACATTATTAGTAAGCTATCCAATCCCTTTGGTGGGCCACAAGGACCTTATACGCATAGTCCCATCTAGTCATTTGGTGGGAGTTACAGAATCTACGGCTAGAAGGACCGTATTATGCAATTCACTGCACTGCAGATGCGCAGTCAATTCCTCAGAAAGGTGTCTTTAATTCAGCCCTTGCGTTTTCGTCTTCTGGACACAGTACTGACTGAGTTCTGCTTTGGCACATGGCACTCCACTTCCTTTGGAGAACAGGTAGAGGCAACATACTGCATTATTCAGGGTTATTACTGGAAGGTTGTTCACTAAATCACCTACTAGAAGATCGACAAAGATATTTTTTCACCTTCAATTATATTTACATCCCCTGAAGAATCAGTTGGTTCCTTCTTTTTATCAACGCAAATCTTAAAACAATTATTGTCTGTCTGACTTTCTACCATGGCTAACGGACAGCTCAGAAATAATCTTGCAGCTCCACCTTGGAAAATCTGTAACATCAGAAGACCTGCATCGATCCACATGCCAACTTTGCTCTGTTAGTCATCTGCTTTTCTCTGTCTTCCCTGAATGACTCTTATCCATTTCTATTTCTACTTTGCTGTGTTAATGCACGGACCCTTAAAGATCTATAAAAACCATTATAAAGCAAAGTAGTTATAGTAACTCACCCAAGATTTGTTCATTTTCTGCTGCTCTTGAGAGACTGTAGAGAACTGTGAAGATTCAGCTGGGGAGAAGGAAAAAGGAATGGTGCCATGAGATACTTGATTAGCTCCTACACTCACTTGTCTAAAAATTTCGTCAAGCCAGCTGGAGAAAACGCCTTCTTGTGTAAGAATGTCCCTTTGACCTTTGAGAAGGGTCAGGAAGGACCATATAGGGGCAGCACAACCTGAATATGTACATCTTTGATATGACCATGTGGCTTTGTCCTTGGGTTTTCACTAAATGAATAAAATCTGATTTTTATTAGTATATTAATAATTGCATCCCCGTCTTCCTAATTAACAAAAAAATAAAAACAACAGAGGGTTGGTTAAACAAATTCAGGTTTACACAGAGAAGAGGGTAGTTATGAGGATAAAATGAGACAAAGGTTTGGAATAAAGTGCTTTCTAATTATGACAGCAGGTTATAAATACATAGTTCACTTGGCAGTTAGGCTATAGTTAATTGGCACTTGGGAAAATATCTTACAGGTGACATCTTCCGAGAGATGAAACCCTATATCTTCATCAAAATCAGTGTTATCCAAAAACTACTCAGGCTAGATTGTTAATCCAGTTCCTGTCAACAGTGTGTAGAAAACAGGCCCTGAGTTAGAACATTCACAGTAAACTCTAAAAAACACAACAGCATGCTTTGTGACATGGAAACTATTTTTAAGTTTTTATTCTAAATTGGTTGTAGTTTCCCAAAAACTTTTTGATAACATGTCTCTAGCAACTTCGCTGTGACACGATAAACAGCACTAGCCTTTGTTCCTGCTTCTGCCTCGGGTGAGCTTCAAAGAAACATTAATTTCAGGCTCAATTCTGGAGGGCTTGTAAGAGTCAGAAATCTCTTCCAGTACTATCATGCTGTGATTGTGTATGTTCAGAATAGAGGGAGCTCAGAAAATCTCTAGATGCCACATATGGAGATGAATACAGTGTGATAGCAGCTCAGATCTGGAAAAAAGAGACAAGAGACTGTTTAGGTTTTCCTCAGATCTGGCTGGTTATGTCTTTGGTGGAAACCATGCCTCCAGCCCACCTTTTCCTTTTTGTGCACTGCTTTTACTGTGGCTACTAGCAAATTTAAAATTACTACGTGGCTTGCATTATCTTTCTATTGGAGCGCACTACACAAAAATATCAGGTTGTGCCTTTGGGGACAGACAGTCTGGAGAGTGCAGGAGGGTCCAGGGGCCTCAGTCTGAACCAGGGCTGAGAGACACTAGAAATCCCAGAATATACTTATATATAGTGAGATTATGTTCACAGTCACTTCATAGTCACATCCCTGAGGACTGGGATGCAGGAGCCTGTGCGAAGTGCTGTGAAGGCTACAAAGCGGAGTTTTAGGCAGAGAGGATATTTGGAAGATCAAGAGCTGGGAGTAAAAAAATAATATCTGCATTTGCATCCTATCTCCCTCACCCCTGATAGGTGACCTTAGGTATATCATTTCACCCCTCTCAGCCTGTGTTCTCTTTTTTAATGGTATGTTTACACTGAGAAAGAGGGTGGTTATCTGGATCAAATAAGACAACAAACAACTGGAATAAAGTGCTAATTATGATAGGTTATAAATACACCCTGCACTTGGCAGTTATGCTATAGTTAACAGGCACTTGGGAAAATATCTTACAGGTGACAATTTATTCTCACACTAATACCACAGATTATTATTAATATCACCATTTTCAGATGACTGACCTGACTCGTACCTAGGTTACTTATCTCAGCACTGGTTACAGGTGACTCGGCACTGGCTACAGGTGACTGAGCTGTAAGGCTCGCAAACAGGCCCTGGGGGGCACTTCCCGCTCCCGCCTCCCAGAGCACAAACTACACCTTCCGGGTAAGTTCCGAGGCCCGACGAAGCCCCCACGCCACCGAGCTCTCACCCTCCAAGCTGCTTAACCCAATAGCTGCGAGACCATCTGCTCTTGACGAAGGAGATGGCGGAAATGAAGAGGCGTAGTTGAGGCTGCACATGCGTAGAGGGGACGCAGAAGATCTGTTCCCAGAGTGCTGGCCGTAAACTAGTCAGATTCAAGACTGCATTTCCCGTGAGCCTCGGCATTCGCTACAAGTGACTATTTTTTAAAAAATGTTTCCGCTTCCATTAGGGATGTAGAAGATGTGTTGGGTGTCTTTGTGGGTCCTCTAACATAAAACGAATAACTTTCAAGATTTAAATGTTTCAAAGAAAAATTCTACCTCTTCAAGAAAACTTACGTTTTATAAATGAAAATATACAAATATAAAATAATCAGATCCTTTCCTAGGAAACACTCTCCCCAATTCCTTACCCATCCCCCCCACCCCCAACCCGGAACCTTGTCTCCCTCCCGCAAAAACACTTCCTGGGGTTTTGTAATAAATTCAGCAGCCATCACAGAATGTACTCTGCATAATTTAAATCGTTCAATTTTATTACAATTTGTTTTATGGCACAGAATCATTTAGAAAGCGGTGCACCAGAAAAGGTGTTCTCTGTTACTGTGGTTTGTTGTCAGTGGAGAATTCTGACTCATGGCCACCTCACCTTTGCAGAGTAGAACTGCTCCATAGGGTTTTCGAATGTGAAATCAAATTTATATTACAAATAGATACTTTACTTTTATTTCAAGAGGGATTTTCTTATCTACAAGCATAGAAATTCCTGACCCAAAATTAACCCGCCAGCAGTTTTTTTCTCTCATCCAAAATGCCATTCCAAAGAGTAGACTATAACAAAAATCATTAACCGGTGGTTAAATGAAAAAGATTCTACTTCTTTAACTCATTCTTGACCGTTGGGATATACGGTGGCCCACCAATATTTTCCACCTCTCAGGATTATTGAGAAGCCGTTTTCCCACTGACAGTACCTGCTGCCTCAAGGCTTGGAAGGGCGGGGGGCGGGGTGCTTTATGACTGGAACTGAAGAAATGGGCGTGTGCTGCAAATTACTGTTTTCATAGGATATTGTATGAGATGCCTGAATTTTTGGTAGGAAAAATATAAATTTTGAAAAATTTTATTTGGGACACACTCAGGGTAGAATTCGTGGGACATTTGTTGCACGGACTCTAAGGGTAGGCTTGTGGGAGGGGGCAATAAAAAAAATCCATACTACCTACCAAAAATTCAGACACACTCAATGATTCAGCATACTTCCATTAACGAAAACACATGGTATCAACAAAAAGTTCAAAGCAGAAAATAACTGGGTCTTGAAAGGGTTTTCATTTTAATAGCTGGAGGTCTTGAACCTGCAGGTGGGTGAAAGGGCAAATCTTTCACAAAGTTACCTTTTTAATGTTAACTAAGTAACCATTAAATACTTCATTACCATTAAGTTTTAAGCAAAAGTTATTTCAAGTCTCTGTGAATTCTCTATTCACTAGAAGAGGTTCCCTCTCCCGAGAGGAAACGTTTCTCCAATTTGCAAACGGTTTATTAAAGCATAGCACAATGTAATATTGTGTTATTCTTTTGAATTAATACGATTACATTTTTAACACAAGGCTGTGACTTTTCAGAAGCAGATTACCAGGCCTGTCTTCAGAGGCAACTCTTGGTGGGTTCCAACCACCAACCTTTGGACAAGCAGTCAAGGAATTAACTCTTTGCACTCCCTAGGGACTCCTTATCTCTGTTTGTAGTGTTCTATAAATGTCAATTCGCTGAAGGTAGTTGCTAGAATGGTTGACAGCTTATATTTTCTTACGGTTTTCTTTTCCTTTGTTGTTTTCTTTTTTGGTCTACTTGTTGCATTAGAAACTGAGAGAGTGGGTTAGCATTATGGATTGGTCTCTTTCTCTCTAGTTGGTCAATTTTTTCTGTATGGATTTTGAATCTTATTAGTGCTTACAAATTTATTATTATTTTATATCCTTGATTTTTTTTACTAATATGTAATGTTTCTCTGTCTCTAGAAATAGTCCATATCTTTATGTTGTCTGTTATTAATATAGCCATATACTAGCTCTCATAATTAGTGTTTTCAAGAAATTATCTTTTTCATCTTTTTACTTTGAACCACATCATATTTAGTATGTTCCTTTAAATACATAGTTGAGAGTTGTTTTTAAATCTAATATGACTGTTAAATGAAGTGTTTCAATCACTTTTTCTATCAGCTTTGAAGCTTTTTAAAAGAACTTCATTAATGTACAATTGACATACAATAAACTGCACATATTTAAAATGTACACATTAACGAGTTTTAAACTGTTTATAAACCTGTGAAAATATAGCCACAATCAAGATAATGAATATAAACATCAGACCCCAAAGTTTTCTGGTGCCCCTTATTAATCTCTGTCTCCTGCCACTGCCCTATTCCTAGGCAAGTGTTGATTTGCTGTTTTTGTCACTATCGATTAATTTGCATTGTGTAGATTTTTATACAAATGGAATTATACAGTGTGTACTGGATTTTTGTCTGTCTGTGTCCACTCAGCAAGATTACTTTGAGATTCATCTGCATTGTAACATATAACAATAGTTCATTCCTTGCTTTATTGCTGAGTAAGTAGATTCCACTATATGGATATATCACAGTGTGTTTATCCATTCAACTGTTGATGGACATTTGGGTTATTTTCTGTTTTTAACTATCACAAATACTGCTGCTTTGAACATTCCTGTACAAGTCTTAATGTGGACGTATGCTTTCATTTCTCTTTGGCAAATACCTAGGAGTGGAATGGCTGCATCAAATGATAGGTGTATGTTTAATTTTCAAGAAACCACCAAGTTGTTTTTCAAATTGGTTATACTATTTCACAATCCTAATAGCAGTGTAGAAACCCTGGTGGTGTAATGGTTAAGAGTTACAGCTGCTAACCAAAAGGTCAGCAGTTCAAATCTACCAGGTGCTCCTTGGAAACCCTATGGGGCAGTTCTACTCTGTCTACAGGGTCACTATGAGTCAGAATCGACGGCAATGAGTTTGGTTTTTTTTTTTTTTAATAGCAGTGTATCATATTTCCAGTTCATCTAC